CCCCCCCGGCCTCTCCCCCCCCCACAGGCTGCTCCCAGTGCTGCTGCCTAGCCCTGTGCCCTCCGGCTCCTCCGCCATGGTATCTGTCACAATGGGTAAGAGACATTTCTCTGCTTGTGCCCACTCCACTGCCCCCCGCCACCACCCAAAATCGTCCTAAATTGCTCTAAAACCCCTCAGATAGTGTATTTTCATCCGGGAGACCATCCCCCCCCCCTCCCCGCTGCCATCCCAGAAACCGTTTATGTCCTGATCCCGTTAATGGCACAGCAACAGCTGGGAACGCCTGGAATGAGCCTCTCGGCTTGCGCCTACCAAAACCCAAGCGACTGTCCCCCCCCGCCATTTTCCATATCAACTTAGTTTCTCCTTTTCTGCAACTTTGTTTCAGCGACATCCGAATGGATTCAATTTTTCAAGGAAGCCGGGATCCCCCCGGGCCCCGCTGTCAACTATGCTGTCATGTTTGTGGATAACAGGTGAGGTCAGCGATGAGGCGGCACCTTTTGATCACATCATGGGAGGAAAATATCCCCTTGGTGAGGGGGAAGGAAGGAATTAACCGGTTATCCTGCTCCTTAATTAGTTATGTTAGTTATTATTCATCTGTGTTGAGCTGCTTTTTTATTATCAACGCTGTTTTTATGAGGGCAGTGGTGTCTGAATCCGGCTTGGAGATATCATGGTGCACCTCGCTCAAGGCTTAATTAATCACAGCTTGTAACAAGAAGAGAAATCATTAAGCCGAGTCTTTCCTCACTGCAGGATCCAGAAAAACATGTTGCTGGATCTGAACAAGGAGATCATGAATGAGCTGGGCATCACAGTGGTGGGAGACATCATTGCCATCCTCAAACATGCCAAAATTGTGTACAGGCAGGTACGGTAAAGCCTCATCGGCGCATTCAGTGGCAAAGTTTTGCTTCGAGGCTCCTCGTTCACCTCCAAAGGAGCCTGAGGGAAAAATCCTCTTCCCTGTTTTTTTCCTTCAGGAGATGTGCAAGGCGGCTACTGAATCGCTCTGCCCTGGAGCTCCCAGCGTTCAAGCCGAGCTGCGCCGCAACGCCAACAGTGGTGAGCGCGGGCAGGAGGTTTCTGTGAGATGAAATCCCCTCGCCTGATTCACGAGCTGCAATAATTAGCTTGACAATGAAGAGCTCAAACCATGGCTGCCTTCCCCACGACCCCGGGGGAGGACCGCTCTTTAATACAGCCAACAAGACGGATGCTTGTCGCACTCGCCGAAGCTCCTTGGGGTTTCAAACCTCTCCCTCACTGTGCTGCCCTCCCCTTCCAGCCGCCAGCCGGATGATCGCCAACAGCTTGAGCAGAGACTCGCCTCCTGCCACCCCTCTCCGACAACGGCCCCACACGTCCAAAATCTCCGTCACTGTCTCCAACAAACTAGCCGCCACGAAGGCAGGTAGGGAGGGTGATGGATCCCAGTGGAAACGCCACCAAACATTGCTTTTTCCCCTTTCTGTTTCCCATTAAACACACCCCCTGGTCAAATTTTAACCTGAATTTTACAGATTACCAGCATGACCAGTGTTAAGCTGAGAGAGGGAAGATTTCCATTAGAAATGGGATGGTCTCAGAGCTTACCCCAGCCCAGGGTTGTGCCCAAGCGCTCACAAAACCCTTCCACCCTCTGAGTCTTGTTGCAACAAGAGCTCGATTCACTCTTCCTTCATCCCGCCAGGTTTATGCGATGTGGTAGACGAAAATCCAACAATCCCAGTAAAACGCCGCCGGGTGACAGCAGAAATGGAAGGGAAATACATCATCAACATGCCCAAGGGCACCACGCCGAGGACAAAGAAAATCCTGGAGCAGCAAGCGGCCAAAGGTACCAGAAAGAGGGTTTTGATCTTCATTTTCTCTTGCAGAAGCCCAGTCTACTTCCCATTTAGCCCCTCATCACAAATCCCACGACGATATTCATATCCAGAGTGGTTTTGGGTAGAAGTTGTGTTATTCCAAGGATGAGTCAACTCGCCACAAGCCCTAAAGGTTGCATGTTTAGGCCTTAGGAAGAAGGGGACGGGTGGCTGTTGGCATGCTTTCATTGAGCAGATTTTATTTTGTTGCATGCCTCGGTGGTAGGGCATGGCTGAAACAACACCAGCCCTCAGGGCTGACCCAGCATAGCTTCATTTTCCAGGGAAACCTCCAAAAAAAAAAAAAAAAAAAGAGAAAAACTCCTTTCTTGAAAAACTGCAGGTTTGCAGAGGACTTCCGTCTTTGACCGCCTGGGAGCCGAGGCAAAAGCGGACACAACCGCAGGAGGGAAGGTGAGAGGACGCGGGTTTTTGGCTGCGGCTCCCTTTAGTCATCACTCTCGACGGCTGTGCCAAACCCCACCGAGATCCTGACATCGGGGTCCTTCTCCCCAAAGACTCTTGCGGGATTCACCACAGAGGGGCTGAAGGAACCTTGGAATAACTGGAAAACGGTGGCAAAACATAAGAGGGAATGGGTGATCTATAGACGTGTTTTATAGCCTAATCCTTAATTTAATTGCTGCAGGCAGCATTTTGCTTCATTACATGCCAAAATGCGTCAGCATCCATCTTGCCTCCGTCGTGGTGGCAGAATTCAGGGGGTGGAGGGGAAGGTGTGGGGTAAATCCAGCCTCTGAAATGGGGGCGTAGGTGCTGACGGGTTCCCCCTCCTTGTCTCCCAGCCCACGGGGGTCTTCAGCAGACTGGGTGATGCCTTGGGGACCGACGGGGACAAAACCACCGAGAGTGACGACGATTGTTCCGTCCTCCAGTACGCCGGCGTCCTAAAAAAACTCGCCAAAGCTCCACGGAAGGAAAGTGCCATGCTGGGAGGGACCCTTGAGGCAAAAGCCACCAGTTCGGAAGCCAAACCGGTCACCAGTTACAGGAACACCGCCAGTATCCGTAAACTGCAACCACCAGTGTCCAAAATGGGTGGTGTCGGTCTTGCGGCGGTGCCGGGCGAAGCCCAGGACAGCAACGTCACCAGCACGAAGGATAAAAACGAACCGGAATTTAGGGTGACAATCAAAAGGACCTGGGGGTGCGGGAAGGTCAGCAGCACCAGCGAGAGCCCCGGCGCGCAGATGGACAGCACGGGCACTGTCAGCGTCTTCAAACGACTGGGGAAGAAACCAGATTGATGCCACCGTGCTCCTTCCTGGGCATCCCGACAGTTTTCCGCTTGTCCCATCCCCTCCCGACCGTCACCTGCTGTCCCCCAACCCTGTTTATTCACACCCTCGAGAGCTTCATCCTGCCTTCCCCCTCAATATCCCAACAAACATTCGGGGAAATCCCAACAAAATTTTGGGAAACAACCCTAATCCCACGGGGAAATGGTGCTCATCCCACGGAGAGATGCTTAATCCCACAGGGAGACCCTAATCCCATGGGAAAGCCCCTTTCCCACGGATTTCCAACCAGTCCCTGGTGGCTGAGAGGCCAAATTGTTGCTCTCCATCTCCGACCAGCACCAAACCTTTTTTTCCCGCCTTTTCCCCTCCTCCGCAAGTTCTCACCTGCATTTAGGAATTCAGACCTGGAAAACTATACAGAAGAGGTTTTTTCACTATTTTTTTCTGGGTTTTTTTCTCTTCGGCGGGTTTTTCTTCCCCTTTATTTAGGAATTTGCACCAAAATAACTCCATAAATTATCATTATGGAGTGGCAGCTTGCTGTGGGGAAGTCTTATTTTTTCAGGATTTCAGAGCAGCTCTCAAAAAAAACCCACCAAAAACTTCAAAATACTCCTTGGGGGGGGCTCAAAAAAAACCCCAAATTGCCTTAAGCAACACCTTCAATCCACCGCTTGCTCAAGCTCATCCTGCCGCGAAACCTAAAATGGTCGCTGTGGGGTTTTACTGAAATTATTTATTTCTCCCCAAATTTATTTACAACGATGTCACCGCCTTCACGCCACCACTGCTGCAAAACCCGGAAAGACCTTTTTTCCCCAAAATAAAGACAACGGGGGCAGAGGGAGCCGCGTGGTGAGACAGGGCTGTACCGGTGAGTCTTTTTAGTAAGAAAAAACACTAATTTCTTATTTTACCTGATTTTGGGAGGGTTTCTTTGCGCTTTGCCCGTTGTTTGGCGTGTGAAAACGAGTGGACTTTTCCAAATTTTTGGCTTTCTACGGCGCCCACCCGCCCGCGGGCGGAGCTTTTTGCAATAAAGCGTGGAAACGGCTCTGTGGCGAATTTATACGACTCTATTTACATGTATGCAAATAAGGAGGAGGTGCGCTTGCACAACCTGCGGGCGGAAGGCGCATGCGCATTGGGAGTCGGGGCGGTCCACCCCCTCCGCGCATGCGCGGGGTGGGGGGGCGGTGGCAGCGCGGCGCCTGCGCAGTGCGGCTCCGGGGAAGCGAGCGGGGTCCTTCCCTCTCCGGTTCCCCC